CTCTAAGCAGAAGTAAGTTCTTCTAGTTGGGTGAGGTCCCACCCACGATCTCAGAGCATATACCCAGAGGATTTGGCCAATCTCATCTATTAGCCTTGTCCTTACTGGTCCCTGAATGAGAAAATAGAAAGGAAAAACCTCAATTCTAATTTAATAATTAGTTAATAACATAATAGGAAAAAATCATTTCTCTCAACAATACATTAGGTTGGTCCTTGAAGAAGATAACCAAGTATTCCATAATCTTTTGTACAGCTATTTAACTTATCTATATTGAGAAGAAACAAATGTTTACAAAGTCAAGATAAACTGAAAATAAAAGAGATATAATAAAACAAGAATGTTTCTATATATAATCCTGTCATAGGAAAGTAAGGGGTAACAATTATACTGATGTATTCTGCAAACTAAAAAATATACATATACTAAAAAAAAGTGAGGCAATATTTTTCAACTATCACTTGCCCCTTCTCTTTTTGCTGATGCTTTTATGAGAAAAGTTATTTATGGAATTTTGCTGCTGTTGTTGTTTCTTCCTCTCTGTTTTGCTATTGTTGCTTTTTTTTTTGTCCCTTTCTCTCTCTGGCTTGTAGATAAGTCCAAAAGTTATACCATCGTCCCCCTACTTGGCTGGGCCCATCCCCTGCTTGTTTTTTTTTAGAGTATTCTCACTTTTTCTCAGAGCTCAGAGTCTACAAAAATCCTCTTTCTTTTTTTTTCCACCTAACCTGAGACTTTAATGCACTCAAACAAGAACAGTCCAGTGTGAACAACTATTCAGTTTTCCTAAGCGTACTTTGTCAATCAGTTATTCTCTTTTTTGTTTCTTTGGTAAGATTTGCCATTGTAGATGTAAGTGGATTCATTTTTTTCTATTCTACTGATTATTTCTGCTGTGCAGACCACTGTTTTTATTTGATCATCCTTCTGGCCTTAATTGTTAACTTCAAACTTTGCATTAGGGCCAGACTCTGTGTACTTTTGGAGCTAATGTTTGGGTTCAGCTTGGGACTGTTTTGTGTCCTCAAGTTATGCTGCTACTTTCCCCAGGTATTAAGTGATGTGTTATCAAGGATCTCAGAGAGAGCTAAATATAGAAATCTTCAAGTGTTCCGTGCACTCGAAGTGGTTTGATTCCAAGCAAAGTCTGAGTGCTGCCCTCCTGATTCGAATTCTGTAAGTTACTGACCTGTGTTTTGGTCTGGGCAGCAAAACTATATAGCCTTATCCCTAGTGGGAGCTCCAGTACACTGCAGCTATACTCAGCTATTATCAGCCAGATGGAAAGCTCTGTAGATTCAGAGTGACAGAACTGCAGACTTCCCTTGCTTGAAATTCCCTCACTACCCTGGTTGTTCTGCTGCAGGCTACAGACTGAGCTAGGTACTGGATCTGAGATCCTATTGTTCTCTCAGGGCCAGAGCCATATAGTTGCTGTTTGCTTCTGTTCTTGCTCTTTGCCTAGTATACAACCTCAATCCATGAACGCTTTGCTATGGAATACCACTTCTAGATGCTGGTCCCCTCCTCCATCTGCACTGGATTCGTGACTCAGTGGGGTTATGTGTAACACAACTGCCAGCTGGTACTTGTTCCTGATCCCTGCACAGCATCAGAACCCTCTGCTCAACCTGTGATCTCTTCTTGTTCTAATGCATAGATATAGGTTCAGCTCTGCTTTAGCTGCCCCAACTTAAAGGCCCCTTGCAGTGCATTCCTTGATAGACTCCATCCCAATGTCCATGGATATCTCTCTCATACTGACTTGCGCTAGAAAAGTGATTGGGACTTTTCCTGGATAGGACTCCTCCTGGTGCATCTTCTGGATCTTTATGGAGGAGTTGTAAGAAGTAACTGAGCTGTACTGCTTCCTCCTATTCCTCCATCTTAGTTAATCAACTGCTTAGTTAAGTGTATACTCATGATTGGTCACACCAAGATATTTAATCTTCACTGGACCATTTCTTAATACTATAAACTTATTGATGTAAAGCACATAATTCTTGCTAACTCCGTGGGTCACTGTAGCTTGGATTGTGGATCCTGGACAACGCCAGGCAATTTGTTCTTATGTCTAATGACTATAATACCAGACCACCATTGGTCATCTTGCTGCAACCCTGGGACTATTTCCGGTTCTTGGGCATCCTATGTTACTCTGTAACCTGGAAAGGTTTACTCCCATCCTACCCTTGCTGTTGGGCTCTTATGATACCTTCTGGTTATGTGTAATCAGGAAATGTGGGGCCCAGGGCTGACTAGAACGTGAAGTGTACATGCACCTGTCTTGTACTAGTGAGCAGCCTGACTCAATAAGTAGTAAGTTTTTACTAGGCTCAAAATCAAACTCTAGGGTAACATACAATATAATGCCTGTCATTAATTAAGTATCTAGTTCTTTCAGTACATAGCAAAAAACAAAACAAAACAAAAACAAAAACAATATTCAGAACATGGTGATAATATTAATATATGGTTTTCTAAGTCAATATGCTACCTGAGAGATCCTTACATATAGTTTAGGAGCCTTAGATTCTACATGAGTTTGATACCACTTGTCTAGATCATCTCTGAGGTTCCTTCCAGCTGTGATTCCATGACTATTCATGCAACAGCTATGAGCACCTTTTCTCAGATTTATGAGAAACTACCTTTCCACCACACCTACACATCCTGAACTCTACCAATGGAGGGAGTGGAATGTAGGTTCTAAGTCAAGTTCTTCAAAAAATGTACAAGTCAGTGGTTGAGGCAGCAATTTATATAATAACTCACACTAATTAGTGCTTTGAGACTTAAAAATTGGATTTTCCACAGTACTCTAAGGTAGATAGTGTAACTTGTCTCCTGTGTCAGAGGATCTCAAGAAATAATGGTCCCGGGTATACTCTGTAGGATCTTCTCACTCTCTTAGCTTATGGTCCTCACACAGGAAATTTGGAAACTCTAGCAGACTCTCAACCTAGCAAAATTAAAAAGAATTTTACTGAAAAACCAAAGTGGTGGTGGGGGGGGAGGGGGTCAGGAAAAGAGAATCTAGAATGGCATTCAATGCTCTCAACAAAATCTACCTAAATTTCCAGTTAGTTACATTCCCAAATCTTCTCCCTTGGCAATTCCCTGCTGCTGCCAGCACAGCTCTCTATCATGGCACCATGGCTCATGCTGGAGTTCTTCACGGGGGGTGGGGAACCCCGATGTGTGCCTCCTCTTTCTTTGTCACACATTATTTGGCCTGAATTTGGCCTGGTGTTCACAGAGCCGCTGTACCAAAGTAAACACTTTGTAAACTTTAAAACGCTGCAGAAATGGGAATGGTTATTATTTCCAAAGACATTCTTTTAAAAAGGGAAAGTTTTTTCCTTGTACTAGCTAATCTCACAGAACTATTATTACAAAATGAACTCTTTGTAAACTTTCAAAGCATTATAGAAATTAGAATGGCCAGGCAAGCTCAAAAACTCTCAGGAAGAAAAACTTTCTATGGCTTAGGTGAAGTCTTTGTTCACCACATTCTGGGAGAGGAGATGAAGCAGGGTGGGGTTGTGGGAAATATTCAGAGTTTTTCCTGTGTGGTAAGAGACACAATTCTTTCTGGGACAAACCTAATGAGCTTTACAGTCCCCTCAAGAAGTTTGCATCAAGGATAATGTTTTATAATAATTAGAATTAAACAAAAGACTGTTTTGGTGGCATTCCCCTCAGTAGATTGTCAAAGGCCAAAAGACCATTTGATGAGGTCTTTTAGAGGCATTAATGAAGTACAGGTTGGTCTCTAACCTCTGAAGTTCCTTCCAATTATGAGTCTATGAGTATTTGTGCAATAGCTATGAACACCTTTCCTCAGATTTAGGAGAAACTGCATTCTCACCGTGAACTCTACCAATGGGGTTGGGGGTTGGGGTCTCTAAAGTTCCTTCCAGCTCTAAATCTGTGATCCTAAGATTCTATGAGGTTAGAGACTTTCCCTCACACATAGATACTAACTTTTCCCCCTCTGGGTACTTCAGTTACCTCATCTGTAAAACAGATAGAAAATCCTTGCATCAGCTAATCTCACAGAGCTATTATCATACAGCAAAACACTTTGCAAACTTTAAAGCACGATAGGAATGGGAATGGTTATTATTATTTTCCAAGCCATTCTTTTAAAAGAATAGATCAGGGGAAAATTTTCCCTGTACTAGTTAATCTCAACAACAGCTAATCTTTATATAGTGCTTACTATGTGCCAGGCACCGTATTAAGCACTTTACAATTATTTCATTTCATCCTTACAACCCTGGCAGATAGATGCTATTATTACCCCCAATTTACAGATAAGGAAACTGAGTCAAACAGAGGTTACGTGATTTGCCTAGGGTCATACAGCTAGTGAGTGAGGCCACATTTGAGCTTAAGCCTTCCTGAATTTGGCCTGGTGTTCTCAGAGCTGCTGTACCAAAGTGAACAGTTTGTAAACTTTAAAACACTATAGAAATGGGAATGGTTATTATTTCCAAAGACATTCTTTTAAATGGGGAAAGTTTATTTTTCCTTGCGCTTGCTAATCTCACAGAACTATTGTTGCAAAATGAACTCTTTATAAACTTTAAAGCATTATAGAAATTAGCATGGTTATTATCACTTCCCAAGTCATTCTTTTAAAAGACTAGATCAAGGGGAAACTTCCATCAAGATCTAACAAGTCATTGCTCTAAAAAACTAACGACTTGAACCAGAACAAGTTTTCCCAAATTTCTGCGCTTGTAATTTACACAACTAGCGTCAGTCCCTAAGAAGCCCCGCCCCCTCCGCTGCCTTCCCCATCCCATCCTCCCTTCTGCGACGAACATCATCTCGCGAGACTAGCGCTCTTTTCCCGCCCGCCCCTTTACCTCTGGCTGGCACTTGCGCAGAAGGCTGACGGGAAGCGGAGAGGGGGCGGGATGAAGGGAGGTAGGCGGTCCGAGTGATGGAAGGTGGAGCCGCCGCGGCTTCTCCCCGACGCGCGCGCTCTCCCCGACCTCCCGACCCCACGCGCCCCGCGGAAGTCCGTGGGGCGCGAGCCCAGCGGCCCCAACAAGTAACAACCCAGCCGGACGGGCTTAGAGATCCTCCCGGCCGCCAGCTCCTCCGCGCGGCCCCGGTGCTAGGAGCGGCCCAGGGCGGCTGGAGAGCCTGGGAGAAGAGAGCGGCGTAGCGCCGCCAGCACTTTTAGGTAGGTTACCTGGCGACGGCGGCCGGGGATCCAGGGGAAGGCGAGGCACCTCCTTCGGACCGAGGACGGTGGGGGCTGCTGGTGCCCGGAGCGGCCTCGAGGACGCGGAGTGAGGAGGGGCGGGGGAGGCCGGCGTCCTGCATCCCCGCAGCTGCCCCCAGCATCCATCACCCCACTCCTAAGCCTTATTACCCCTGGTGCCTTTTTTTACTTAGGGCTAAGTGGGGTTTGTGGGAGGAACTGCCTAAAGAGCTTTTCCGTTGGGGGAACGGGGAGGGGGAACTCGCCGAGAGAAGGCTTTTGTTTTGCTTTTGCTTTTTAAAGCACCCCGGAGGAGCACTGGGACTTTAAAAAGCCACATACAGCCTTTATAGGCGATTGCATTGTTGTCAAATAGCCTTGACATACATTGCGATCCCGCAGGGAACTGTGAGTCTCTACTATCTTGAGGACATACTGCTGCTTAGTCTGGGCTGGAGTTTGACAGCCAGATGGGCAATTATTCTGTGCTCTGTCTAGATAAAGAAGAGACTTGGACCCCGAACAATCTTTCTTATCTGAAAGCAGTTCTTGGTGTCCAATTAAACTCATCTGAACTTTCGGGAATATTGTGCTTATTATATGCTCCCTTGGAATTGATGGATTTATTGAAAAGGAAAAAATAATGGGGGGGTTCCCCCCAAACCCCTGCATTTATTTACCTGATGGTGTTATAGTTAAAGGATATACTGCTTTGTAATCCCACTACCGATGGCACTTGCTGTGTTCAACAAGATGGAAATACTGGATTTGGTTACTTTCTTTTTTTCTATAGGTATTGATTAACTTGACTTGTGACTTTCACTGGAGGTATTAAAAACACCAATATAGAATGGTGAAAGACTGGAAACCGTTCTTAATGTTATTCACTCATAATAATAACTTTTCTGTATCAGTATAGGTAACTTTGGTTACAGCCAGTGGAAGAGTAGAAATGGCCAAAGTGGAAATAAAGTAATTTAATATTGTTTTAAATCAATAGTTGTTTCAGAAAACTCATTAAAGATCAGATTTTTTACGTGTTACATTGAAATCTTAAGTTTTAGGTGCGAGATCACTTTCCTTGGTTAATTTACTGTAATACAAATAGCTGAAATATGGTGTTTGTCAAGCCTATCCCAAGAATTACAAACTACTAGTACTGTGCATTTAAACGTGATTTCTCTTCTTTTCCCCTTTCTGTTTTCTTTTATGGGAAAAAAATAATTAACAAACATTTTGTCTTAACGTAATGGCTTAAATTTATTTTAGACTAGCGTGATTTTTAAAGGTGCGATGTTTTTGAGTGTGTCTCCTTGTATGTTTTCCTACTTTATATTCTTTGAAGTAGAAATAAAATACACTGCTTACATTGGCACCTCTCATGCTTACACTGGCACCTCTCAAATGACAGTGAATATTGTTACCCTACCTCAGTGGAGATTAGACCACAGCTAGAAGTACTCTACAGTGCATAACAGTGAAACCTTCCATATAGTGCCTTTATCCCCCAGAAGAAACTCAAAGCTCTTTTCTCTCTTTAATTTTCCCAACATTTCAGAAAAGTAGAGCAAAATTAAGTATTCTTTAAAAAAAAAAAAGCTAATGTACAAACAGAGACACAGAAAGATTGAAATGATTGAATCAAGATTAAACAGGGTCAGAGCTGGGAAATCATTTTTAGCTCATTCAGTAGTTTTGTCTTTCCTGTGGGTGCAGTGTTAAGTTCAATCATAAAATTGATGTCAGGGCTGAAGATTTACATTATTTCAAAAGAAAATCTGATATTTCCTGATCTGAGACTTAGATTCAGACCTCACCATGGTTAGATCATTCTGAGTTTCCTTCCTAAAAGTACTTCAATGGCATATATGTATTGTATTCTTTTAAGAGTGACTATTTAAAATATAATTATTTGGGAAGCCATCATTTTTATATATTTTGAGGCACACTGGGGTGTTTTAAAAGTAGAATACATAATCATTTCTCTAATCTAAAACAGATAACTGCCAAGAAATTCTAGAGTCAAATTCAGAGCTCAGTGGTTATCAGTTTAATTTAGGTACTAATGTTCTACATTCTTTTCTATCCTTAATTGTTTTTTGACATCCTGTTTAAAATGAAAACCAATTCAAATCCTTTTGGAAGAGGGTAGTACCAAAATCTTAAATAAATAAAAAGATTCTGAACCAGTCATCAGGGTTTCAGAGGTAAACTTTATACTTTATTAAGGTTAAGTCTACACAAAAACACATTATCTTCCCTTTTAAATGAACTGCTCTGTTTATTTGGAACTGAGTTTTCTAGTACTCCTCAAAACTGGAGAAATGCAAAGTGTTAAGTTCAAGTTCTCACAATATGTATTTTCATCAGTTAATGAGATAATATAATATCTGCTGATCTGATAACCAACAAAGTAATCTGTACCAAGAGGGTTTTCTTGGCAGAAACACTGTAATAGTTTGCCATTTCTTTTTCCAGCTCATTTTACAGATGAGGCAAATAGGGTTAAGTGACTTGCCTGAGGTAACAGAGCTAGTAAATGTCTGAGGCCACATTTCAACTCAGGAAGATGAGTCTTCCTGACTTTAGGCCTGGCACTCTATCCCCTGAACCACCTAGCTGCCCCTTCTTTTAAGACATAGAGAGAATTTGGAGAATCTACAAAAATAGATAGGTAATTGATGTGTTTATTAGTTTATTACTTTCAAGTATTTCGGAGTCTTAAGCCCTTGGCAGGTGCTAGATTACAGTCATGTTCATAAGGAATTTGCTGTCATTGATCAGGGCCTAGCTACAAAAATAATTTTTTTGCTCTTAACCCCCACCCCAAATCAAAACTTTCCAGCACAGGTCTGATTAGAACTCTTAGAGCTTCTTCCTTCCTTCTTTCCCTCTATCCCTCCTAACTTCCCTTCCTCCTTCCCTTCTTCTCTCCCTCTTTGCTCTCCCTCTGTCCACATAGAGAATCATACCCTTACCAGGAGGTGCTCTGCCCAAAGGAAAATAAAGTTGTGTCATTGAAACCTCAAAAGATATCTTCGAGTTTATGGGCTAGATGTCTTTTTTAAGGACCATGCCTTAAACCCAAATCACTCTGGCTCGCATTGATTGGGCAACAATAGGTCCCAGCCCAAAACTCATTTGGTCATTGACTCTGGTGGCCCAAAGTGAACATAAATAGCAGTTGTTTCTGTTTTGGCCAGAAACACTGAGAATCTTCCCCTCCTGGACTGATTTGTTTTTTTGACTAGGTAAAAGAGGCTCTTCTTTGCCTCAGTTCTACCTAACCTTAAGGCTTTAGCTTAAAAGGACCAACGTCTCCCTCTGCATCCTGGGCTGTCTCCAGTCATCCTGATCGATATCTGGCCACTGGACCCAGATGGCTCTGGAGGAGAAAGTGAGGCTGGTGACTTTGCACAGCCCTCCCTCTCTCAAATCAAAGTCAATTGCAAGTCATATTATCATCTCCCTGATGTCATGGTCCTCTTCGAGCACAAAGGACAAACAACAACAACAATTTGACAAACAGTTCTACAGTCATTGCTTCAGGACCTCCAATGAGGAAGAACTCGTTGGCATTTGTGATAATTCATTCCACTTCTGGATAGTTCTAATTGTTAAAGTTTTTCTTTATGTTGAGCAGATATTTGCTTCTTTGCAAATTAGTTCTTGTTCTTATTTCTGCTTTTTTGGGTCAAACTGAACAAGTCTAATCCTTTTTCCACATGATAGTCATTCAAAAATTTGAAGATAGTTATTCCACCCCAACCCCTGTTAAGCCTAAAGATTCCCAATTCCTTCATCATAACAGAAAACAGTTAAGAGTAACTTTTAAAAAGTTGTTTGCAGCATTTATCATCAAACTTCTACTCAATGCACAGGAATTGTCAGCCATCCAAACCATACCTACAGCCTTAGTATAGACCATAGATCAAGCCTGCACAGCATTTGGTCTGCCTCCTTTTGGCCCACCCCAAGAAAAATGTTGAGGATGTAAAACTGTCCCTGCACAACATACCACCTGCAGGCCACTTTGGCAGGCTGCAAGTAGCCCGGACCTTATGTTATGCAGGCCTGCCATAGAATATTAATCCTTCTTTAGAGTTTGTATGAAAATATTACACCACAGAAGCTTTTCCAAATCTTTTTCATCCTTCCTCAAGCACTCCCTTATCCCACCCTCTCAGCAGAGAACCTAGTCTAATATTTCATTGAAAAGAAAATGAGACCACTTAAGGAGAGCTCCCTCTTCTTCACTCACTCAACTTAAATCACTGACGTCTTCCTCTGCTATCTCCTTCTCCACCTTGGTTCTGCACAAAATGGCCTTTATCCTTGCCAAGGCAAACCCCTTCACATTCACTCTTACTCCCATATCATCAAATCATCTCCAGCAGATTTCCTCCTCTGTGTTCCCACTCTCACTAATCTTCAGTTTCTCTCTGAGTACTGGCTGCTTCCCTGCTGCCTACAAAAATGCCTGTTGTTTTAAAAATTAAAAAAAAACCCTCACCTATCTAGCTTTCTTTCTATATCTCTCCTTCCTTTTGTAGGTAAACTCCTTGAGAAACCCTACAGTGCCTCTACTTCTCTTCTCATTCTCTTGTAGACCTTCTACAGCCTGGATTTCAACCTCATTATATACTCAGCTGTCAAAGTAATCTTCCTAAAGTGCAGGTCTGACCTAATCAGTTAACTCTAGTGGCTTCCTATTACTGCCCTCTCTTACTCTGATCAAATATCAAATCCTCTATGGCCTTTATAGCCCTTCATAACATGACCCTTTTCTACCTTTCTGGTTTTTTTACATTTTACTTTCCTCCACATAAAATGAGATATAGTTGACACTGTCCTCTTTACTTTCCCTTACACATATCTCTTGCCTTTTCACTTGTGGCCCCCCCATAACTGGAATGCTCTCTCCCTCACCTATATTTCCTGGCCTTTTCCTGATCTCAACCCCTCCCTTCTACTTCTGCTCCATTCCCTGAGATTACCTCCCCTTTACACTGTTTACATCTTAAATGTATCTAGTTGTTTGCTTGTTGTCCCCTCCATTAGAATGGTTCCTTGAAATCAATAACCATGTTTTTGTCTTCTTCTGTACCCTAGTGCCTAGCACAATACCTGGAACACAGTAAGCA